TGACCTGACAAAGATAACATTAATTTTGATTATATATATTAATATATTAAAAACAGTGTTCCCTTAAAAATATTTTATACCATTATGTTAATTACGTCGATTGTCCTTTTAAGTCTCCTACATTGAAATTCAAAATCTTGTTCATTTAGTTCAACTCATCAAACAATGGAACACTTGAGCATTTGTAACCTATGTGAAGCGTTTTATTACACATTCGAGGGCAATTAAAATAACTGAACCAGAATAATTGTTGTCACGTAATTTACTATTCAAATTTCGGATTTATTTTATTCACTAAACCTTAAAAAAAATACCTATAATTAGAGACTTAAATATTTCCGATATACGCATTATAATAGGGAAAAAATAAAATACAGTTTCCATGTAGAGTAGTTCATAACAAGTAAAAGACGACAAAATTCCAATTAGCTTTACTGTGTAACATTTTTAAAATACGGGCATGCAGGTTCATGCAAGAAACATCCGTAAAACTAGATGCAGAAGATCGATATCAGCTTAAACAATGTTGTAACAAAATAGAGATAACCTACATCACTATCAGAAACAGCCAAAAACGGGAAAGTTCGTACATAAGAAAATTTGCATAACGATAACGAATTACGACGCAACAAACAACGCATGGAAATTTATAACTGAGTTTAAATATGGGATTAAAATTGATGGTTTTTTAATTTACTGATAAAACGATTGGACTAACAGAATGACGTCATGTATAATATGCTTTTCTTTCAAATGAAACGAATTATTTCTCACGAAACTATAGTGTGTATCTCATATATTAAAAATAACATACTATTTATGTTTTGTTTAATTTTGCTATAACATCCGGGCTTGGATATGTGGTTTAATTAGTTAGTGTCTAAAATGAAAATCAACACACATTGTTATTATTTAATTACTAACGAGTAACGTATGTTAAATAGTTTGTTCTGAGAGCGCTGAAATAACTGAATGCTATTTATAAATACGTGTACAATATCATAGGAGTGAACGAACTCTTTATAGATGATGATGGTCTTTAAATTGACGGTATCAACCCCACAGGAAGGTAATTGGGGCTGCTTACATGTGGACACATTTACAATGGAACCATCAACATAATCTCCCTAAACAGAAATAATAAAAAGGAAACTAAGCAATTTTGATCCCACCCGACGGATTAGATGTCTCTCACGAAACACGACGTAAAAAATAATGATTGTTATGTACCGAAAAGAAATTTTTATATAGCAACATAAAGATATATTTAATTTCTGTTCTTTTAATATGATAATACGGCATGAATGTAATACATATACTAACATAATTATAGTGAGATATTTGGTTTATTTTACTTTTAGAATAAAATAGATGAATATGAATGTAATTTAAGGAAAATTCTCCAGATTCATTATATACGTCACATTCGGATTTCAAGATTCCAGCGAGATAACAATAAAGTAACGTTATTTTAAACATCGTCGCTGTTTTGTCGTAAAAAATATTGTATCGGCTTATTTGATATGTATTCTTTTATACCGATTGTGAAAATGAAACGAGTCATAATAAAGAGAAGAATATATGTATATGCCTTACTTTTATGTATAAAATTAGTCCTATAATTTTTTTAACAACGTTTTAAATATTTCACTACTTTATTAAAACTTATATTGGTGCTAAAATAAATAAGTTTTTGTTTCATTCATACTAATTATAGAGGTGCAATAATAGATCAGACCGTAAGACTTGAACTTCAGTAACGTAGACGAATGTAACCTATTTGTATCCAAACGGTACAAATGACAAGCAACAGCGATTTAATAAGATTTATTACATATTCACAATAATATCAACAATAACTTTTGTTTCAGAGTTGAAATTTTAATTCTACACTTAGAAATAGTTTTATATCTTAATATTTTATGAACCTATAAAGATAAATTGTAATTTACACGCGAGCTCATGTCTTTAGTCTCGGTGAAATAACATTTCTCTGTCTTTTCTTGGCACTTTATTTTATTTACTGCAATCCAGATAAGAGTCCAAGATGCTTCACCTTCTGTATTCATTATATCCAAAGCAAGTGAAAATAACTGACCGTATATTCTGATTAAGAAATGCTTTAGACCTTTTAAATCGTTAGTAAAGACATCCTTTATAACAAAATAAAATAGAAATACATGTATTTCCTTAAGAAACTTCCTACCTTATAAATTATATAAAGACTAAGTAGAATCTAATGAAAATGTTACCTTTCAAAAGCACTGCACAAGTATAAAATATTATACCGAGATATTTCTGAATGCATTTTAAAATAAAACAAATATCCTTACAATATAAAAATTCGTATTTACCATATGTTTTACTAGAAACATTTCTCATCACAACGTCTTATACAATCTTATTAAAGTCAGATTTATTCAAAAGAAAATAAATATAGAACGAGAAAACAGAAAACATATTTTTAATTACGGTCAGAAGTCGAATTCCGTCTCGACCGTTTTAACAGTACATGAAAATCTGCGTTGGAATGTAGCCTCTAGCATCGTTGGTATAAGTATTTTTATTGAGTGTCTAAGTAAGGGGTTGTCGGGCAGTGGGGCGTCGGATCGATACTGGGTTACTGATATAAATAGGACAGAACTTAAAGGCCGTACGCCAACGCTCAGTTTCGTTGTCGTGAATCGATTCCGAGATGAGTTAGAAGCTGTAAAAACGTCTGCGATGTCAGTCTCAAAAATTATATGAAGAATTTTCTTAGGCGTCACTTTCTCTGAAATGAATATCGTCGATAAAATGCTTACGAAATTATCGAGGCATACATAATTATTATTGATAGGCGTGAATATTTTTTAATTTATTTACTTCTCTTTAATTAAACTGTAGGGTTTTATTTTTATCTTACATTAATTTAATCTGGACAGTTTAAAATATCGAATTGTTTTTGTGCAACAAAAAAGATAAGCTTTAGATTAATTCGATATAAAAACTTCAATGAAATCGTACCGTCCGCATCATTAAACAAAGCCGTGAACAAAATTGTAAATAAAATACATCGAATATAGAAAATCGTAGTCTAATATTTCCACGTGAATAATTCCACGGTAACCTCAAGCCCACGTACGGAGGCCGCTTTGACAGTGATCGCACAATTGACGGCCTTCTGGTTCAACTTATAGAGTTTTTACTTATAGCTTGTATTTAGTTTTAATGTCACTGTTTTAACGGAACATAAACAAAAATATATCTACTTTAAGTTATTATATAGTTTTAAATTTAAATAGATTTACAAAATACAGTAATATATATATATTCTCGTGTATAGTCGCTACTATGATTTAATAGGTTGGTAGTGTCCTAAAGTAATATACCTACGCCACGGAAGAATACAATACCCAGTGATAGTTTTAATAGTTTGGGTTGCTATTGATCATATATGGGGATCTTTACATCATATATCATTCTTTTATCGTACCACTTTGGGTATGGTCTATAGATCATTTTAAAGTTTTTAAAATTTAAATTTTATTACTGTCAAAACTGTACGGGTAAAGTTAGAAAACATATGTTATGGGATATAAATTATTATATTACATATCTAATTATACTTTTAATGTTAACTTGACTTATTTCCTATCTTTATGAGCTACAATTTATCATGCACAAATTAAGTGAGCCCTCATTACATCGTTCATTATAGAAACGAAAATAAAGTTAGACTAATTAAGGTCAAACCTCCACAATATCTGATCCTCCCTACAAAGAGTGCAAGGCCAAGAGTCAAATTTGTTAACAATTTTAATTTTACTATAGAACTGCTTCAAAGTTTCTTGACTTCCCTGATCGTTTACCACATAGAGTACGTACTCTATATGTTATTAAAATTAAACAAACCACGGATTCTCACAGACGAAATATGTGATAATTATATTTACGCCTGAATTCGTGTTCCATCGTTCTAACCAATAGTAAATAAGACAGTATTAGCTTGGATCGTGTACGTAATATACTAAATTAGAAACATATTACTATTATCGGAAAAAATAAATGATTTTTCTTATATGTATTGGATCACTTTCTTTAGTTATCATCAGTTATATATCACCAGTAATTATACCTACGTTAAATTATATAAATGTCGGTTTTTAATTTATCCTTCAAAGAGAATATAAAAGCTGTAACGTTACAGATAGAATGTTTAAATCCTTAATTTAAAAAAAGCATTACTTGACCTTTAAAATTTCAGAACCAGAGAGTTGGCAATACTTAAAATTTTGAATAAACGACTAATTACAGCAACGTTTCTTTGATCTTTCCTAACTAAAGCGTCTGCGAAGGTCATTTAATTTTGGTTGATACAGAAATAAAATAAACGGGTATGTTTACAGATATGTGTAGTTCATTGGCCTTTAAAATATTTGGACCACCACGCTGTACCCGATTATAAAGTATCCAATAAATATAATTTCATTTAACACTATCGATGAAGTGCATTTTATTTTTTAAGTTGTAGTGATTATTCTTTGAAAAATAAAGTAATTGGTAAAGAACTTATTTTACGTTAAAATCTCGTCAAATATAATTTAGCCTTCAACCGTTAAGTACTCTTCTTTAAATATTTAATAAAAACTAATCGACTTTTCGCGGAACTCGATCGATGTAATTAGAATCAGAATCGATTTAAATATAGACACAAACGTCCCTACATAAACTTAAAACAAGCAATCATTTCATCAAACCTAAATTAAATATATATGTATATACATTTATTTTTATTTATCTATATATATATTTTCTTGCCGCACGTGAGTTTTCGACCACATATCTGGCCGCGTCTATTTATCATTGAGATAAAACCATCGATCTTGAGATAAATCGTGATTTTGAAACACGATTGACATAAAAACCTCTAGTCAGGTCCCTTCCCAGTTTGAAAACGGTAGCCTAAAAAGTTTATCACACTCATAAATACATTTCTCTTGTCCACAGCCAAACCGACGATGCATATTGAAGTGCAGGTTGCTCTTAACTTTGTTATATCGTACCTATACAATAAACTGCCAAGAAGACGGGTCAATATCTTTGGAGAGGAATTAGAAAAGGCATTGAAAGACAAGTTCAGGGGTCACTGGTACCCCGATAGACCGTGTCGCGGTTCTGCATTCCGATGCTTGAAGACTGGGGGTCCATTAGACCCCGTGTTGGAAAGAGCTGCCCGAGAATCCGGTGTCCCTGTTCGAGACGTTCTTGAACATCTTCCTCGAGATCTTGCAGTGTGGATTGACCCAGGTAATTAAATTTCTTAACTTATCTATGTATATTAAGTTTCTTAAATTTTATATTAAATGCAACACTAACAGTAGATATGTACAGTCATTTTTAGCAAATTTAGTCGATATATTTAGTTCGTTCAATTAATCTGCTTAAATTTATTTGTGCGGCTTCGATATTACAACGGTCCGGATTATTCACTATGAGCTAGCAAGTTTAAATACAGTCCTTGTCGCCGTCATTGTTTAAATTAGCTTCTTCCTATCAAACCGGCAATCATTCGTTAAATAGTGACTTATTTCATATGACCCTTAAAACTAGAAATTAGCAAATACTTACATATACTATTTATATTACTGAAAAGGAAACTTAAATCTTTATTCGTAAATCTAATTCATTAAGACTAATAACATTGCTTGATTGCCTATAAAGGTTTTTGTAAAGCAAAAAATCTTAAAGGATTATATAAATATACAACTAAATATTGAATTATGGTTTCAGGTGAGGTGTCTTACCGCATCGGCGAAAAGGGTGCAGTGAAGGTTTTGTTCAGCAGCGACGAACGTACTGCCGACGAGAGGACTGATAGAGAGGTATTAAACATGAAAATAGTCAACCTCTATGAATATAAATTGTTACAATTATGGTTATTTAATATCATTAATATTTTTAGGTAACCCGCGCGTTCAACCCCGAGGCGCAATGTTTCCGACCCGTGGAGCCAGTAGCGGCCCCTTCACCGCCAGCGCCGGCGGCCTTCTCTCCGGGCCCGCCCTTCCGAGCTCAACCTCTCACTTTCACAACTGCCACCTTCGCTCAAACCAAGTTCGGGAGCACCAAACTGAAGACGAGCAGCAAACGCGCGAACCGCATGTCTCCCACCGAGTTCAGCAACTACATCAAGCAGCGCGCGGTGCAGCAGCAGTTGGCGGCGCGGGCGCTGTCTCCGGCGACGGACCCGGCGGCCTACTTCCTAGCGAGACGCGAGAGTGCGCCCTCCGCCCCCCCCGCACCGTACGCTCCCCCCACACACTTGCTCCTCGCGAACTGAGCCGCGGGAACTCCTCCTCGCGCGGTCCGCTCATAGAGTCTTTACTTTTTTACGACAGAGACGCGCGCCGCGCTCTATTTTTTTATTTTCCGCGGGGGCGTCCCGCGCCGCCCGCCGCTTGTGATATCCGTACGATTTTCCATAACTTTTTGTATTCCCGTTCGTTACGTCGATGTGTAAATTTATCGATAGGAGCAATAATCAGCCGCGCGACTCGCCGGCGATTTATTTTCGTACTATTTAAAGCCGAGTCGACTTTTGGATGTCTTCGTTCAATATCGATATATTATTAGTAGTATATAAGGGATCGATAGGCCGAGAGGCCGCGTGCGCTTACGACGATGTACCTTCTAGAGCGAGCCTGTATACATACATACGTCCTCCGATCTAAATGAATACTGATATTTAAATATGTATACATAATATAATATATTCGTACGCGAAATATCTAATTTTTCACGTGAATGTAATAATGGCCAATAGAGAAATTACGTATTTTTAATATTGAAAAATTCATACTTTCTAAGTATATATAGTACTACTGGTATGTAACTACTGTATTCGTATATATATGTATAATAATAATAATAATGTTTGCATATCCGGTCGGACGCGATCGGACGGTGGCGGGCCGCCCGAAGGCGTCAGAGATCTCACCTAGTGTAATCATCACTTGTACGATTGTACTCTTATAATTATATGTAATATACATAAATATTATAGAATTAGCTACGTTTCAATCTAACAGTATTTTTTTAAGAAGATATTAGTCCTTGTGTACATTGCCGGTCGATCGCGCCGCGGCGGCCGGTGTTTAGTCTTACGGTATATTTATATGACATTGTTATAAAAGACATGAATATGTAATAATTATAGAAAAATATTTCTCAAATCATAAACTAACGGGTGCATGCGAATTCGTGGGAATAAAATACTATGTGTTATTTATCTTTTTTATATTTCACTTGGCAATTGAGTTCAGTGTTTCAATCGAGATCAATGTTAGCGATAAGAGATTGTGCTTAAGTATGCGGGTTGTCGGCTTGTCGTTGGTTGACGGTGACGGTGACGGTGACGGTGACATGACGTCATACATGTCCGTCCATACGGTCTGCATGCATATTGTTTTATTAATATAGTACAGATTAGATGAATTATCAAAGTTTTGTATGTAAATTGCTTTCATATAATATGTAGTGGCGATGCACCCCGTGTGGACGACATCGATCGTTCTCAATGCACAACAATGACAAGTTGTATACGGAAATGTGCGTCTATTTTTTTACTATTTTTATATTTTGATTTAGATTAAGTCTAGTTGTATTATTTCGGTACCTTTAACACGTACTTTATTAACGCCCTATTCTTATTGAAACTATGTAACGTAAATTTAGGAGCTCGATTGAAAAACTGGCCAAAACGCTACAGTATTTTGTAGATAATCTATAAAGTAAGTTTAATATAATACAATATAGTGTAATGAGATTTTTTATTAATAAAGATACTTTTTATTTTTCTTTTTTTGTAAGATATATTCGATGGAAGTGTTAAAGATAGTATATTTGCATAATATAGATAAGCGGTTCTCCTGTCCGCGAATAAAATTAGTCAATAATAATTTTTCATATTGTTGTACGACTTTTTAAGTTTATATTAAAATGTTTTGTGCAATCTATACTGTGTTTGATTTTATTAAACAAAAAGTTTGGATTAAGTTATACTTTAATTGAACTTCAAATTATTCATAATTATTTATACAGATGGGCATATTCAACCGTCTTCCGAAGTAGCAGAAACATCAGGGGTGGTAAAAATAAAGATATCATTTAAATGAAACTAATATTTTTCGACTTTATTTTTGATTTAAAAAAATACTTACTGCCGACGTTTCAGCTACTTTTCAGCAAAGGTTGCCGAAAAATATTAGTTTGGTTTAAATGAATAAGAGTCAAGAAAATCTTAGATATCATTATAAGGACATCTTTTTTCAATGTATTGGTGTAATGGCATCGCGTAAATCAAAAGTCAGTCACTCAGATGTCAGTTTCAATTCATTGAACTTAAAATTTGCATGTCTAACTTAAAAGTTGAGTGAGTTCTTAGATGAACATAATGAGCTTAAAAGTATTTACACTTCAAAACACACGACACACATGACTAAGAAAGGTATCATGTGAAGAATGAAGAAAGTAAAAGGATTTTACGTTTTATATCAATTATCATGTTATTATATTGAAAAATTAGGAATGTTTTATTTAGACAGAATGTACCTACGATACTTAACCTTAAAGACTCTATCATCACATTTTTTAATTTGAAACAATATAATTCAGCAAATGAAACGATTGTTTATATATTATCAATCCCGCTCTTCGAAATTTTTCTCGAAAAATGTTTTCGTATAAAATATACGTATTCAACGGAGCATTATAAATTCGCCGCTTAAAACAATGTATTCCAACAATTCGTGCATTAAAACGAAATGAACAAACAATTCGCTATTCGATTATATTCGGACATTTAAATAGTGATGCCATGTTTTACTTCTTAGTTGAAGCGTTCTCAAAAAAGACAAAGACGTAACTTACCTTTTTAATAGTATATTATTGCTCTTAATTGTGTCACATCAAAATCTGATATGACAAGATTATACGTAAATTTGTCAGTTTTTTATTCGTGTTTTTTTTTTGTTTTTTAATGTATATTTAGTAAATGAAAAGTGTCCACTATTTGACAAAAATAATAATGCGATCGAAAATAATATCTACTTTATAATATGTAAGAGCTTAAAAATATTTTAATATTAGGTAATTTTTATTTTATCAAATTGGCTCATTCACAAATTGAAACAAAATTAATGTAACCTATAAACTTGCCTAACAACAGAGAACTACATATATGATAAATACTGGAAGTTATTTAAAAATAAATAATCACATTTTAATTAATTTCTATTGTTTACGTAATATTTAAAACAAAAAATATCGTTTCGTAATTCCTTCCCTTATAATGAATCAAAGTCATGTAAACGAAAGAGATGGCGCACCACTTCTATACATAATTGCTTAACAAGTAAGTACAAACAACAAAACAAACTTTACTTGAATTCTAAAACCCCTAAGTAACATATTGTAAGCAACTAATAGGCCTCGTAATTAATTATTCTATCTATATTTGGACACCACAAGTAAATTCAAGAAGAAATTATGTTATGAATAGTTTAATTTGTATGAAACATGAGATAGACTTATGGGCTAAAACTCTTTTTTGTGGTGATAAAGGTTTTATAGTTACTACTTACCCTCGAGTCCATGCAACTGCCATAATTGCCACCTGAAGACAAAGTCAGTAATGCAGTGCAGATACACGTCAATTTTCTGGGCGAGTGTTGTTCTTTCCTGGTCTAACCAGTTCGATTCGAGGTGAACTGCAAAAGACCAGAGTCAGTTTTAACCACTACGCCTTGCTACACACCTAAATTAATTAAACTACAAACATTTCATTGTTAAGAATTAAATAACTACATTTGAATACCAATATTTTTCGGATTATATTGCGATTATTTTATTTTTGTAAAAACTACCTACGTACTCCCTACGTTTCAGTTACTTTTCAGCAACCGTGATCACGGGCAGACGAGATGTGAATGTCTGTCTTCATATTATGTATATGTATTTTATCTTAAGCTGTATGAAATACTTTATTTATTTAACAAATTTCTAACAATAATTTGAATGACGATTGTTAATAATAGCTCCTCTTGTAGAGATCGCTTTCAACTAACCATTCGTATCAAAAAGATTACAGCAAGAAGTCCAGGCAATTTTAAAAGCAATACATTAACTATATTTAATACAATCTGTTATTTCACTTGTATAGTTGTATAGTAGACGACTTAAAAAAGTGTGCTGAGGTATAAAAGGGCTCATCAAAATATTTAGTTAACACTCGGGAGCTGAAGGTTAAAGTATCAATAATAATTAAAAGCCACTGTTGTCAAATTATAATAATTACACGCCATTGTTTGAAAAAACAAGCATTTTACTTTACTATTATTTTAAGCTTATTAGTACTCCTATAATACCTTTACAAAGCATCGTATCTTTAAACTAAACGAAAAGTTTTTCACTCAAATATCTTATTTCTGATATAGACACTGGAGTGACCATATCTATAAGTGAATTGTTATATTGTTACAAACAGACAATCACTCATAAGACATACAACACTCAATAAAAGTTATCATAGCTATGTTTATGTGCGTTACATTTATAATTTAGTAACAGTATCGCCTTTCAAAGGTAAAAAATTAATAGCCTACCATTTTTAAGAAACATCTATAAGTGTAAAAACCCATGAACGTATAATATGTATTAGAAACGCATTACATCTCGCAACTTGATTCGTTTAAAAAGTTGTTTAAGTCAGTTGATATTAAAAGTAATATTCTTATTGGCCGATATATTGTTTAAACTTTTTTAGCTTAGAGCAACTGAATTAAATTATCTACCAAGTATTTTTTTTATGGTAGCGTTGTGAGTGCTAAGCTTTATAGTGGTAATGTGTGTTTAAATAAAGGAATTCATACCTTCTACTTAGCCTACCCATTGTTTGCATACCGCTGATGAAGCTAGGAATAGCCGATATTAATTGAGAACATTTTCTTCATATCATTCATAACTAGGTAACAATTCCACACTGCTCTTCAACATAATATTTAATACATATTAATTGCACTACATGGTCATTGCATGTATTATACCTAAGCCGAAAAATCTATTTTGTCATAGGGTTCGCTAAAACTTCAAACGTGTTTTGTATCAATTCTCACTAAAACTATGCTAGCAGAATTACTTCTTCTATGTATTTATTATGTATTATTTATGTATTTAAATACAGAAAAAGGTAAATAAGCTTGAGACTTGAAAACTTTGATACACTGTGTATTTGCCTTGGGGAACTATGACGACACTTCAGGATTTCCTCTAAAACTCAAGGGGCTTACTATTCGGTTTATTTATTTGCTATACGGTTTGTTTGTTATACGGTTTGTTTCAGTCAGGGACACCAAATATTTTTAAGGAAAAATTTAAATTGCTTGTTCATCAAGGTACCACTCGATAAGACCTTGTGAGTATCACGTTACCTGTAGGTACTTTTCTTTTTATTAAATCTTTGTTAGGGTGATGTTCAATAAAATGTTTAAAAAAAACGTCGTTGCGCATTCCTACACATCCTATTGAATATTGAATAGCTGCCGGTGGCTTCTTCTTCTATGATTAGGCGTTTATAGGAGGGTGTTTTTGGAACTATAATAATATCTGGCATTGTTTTCTTAAAAGTAGATAATTATAAAATAATGTAATTGTAAACATTGATAACTTTTATCTTGTTTTTAGTAATTAAAGGATTAGAATAATATAGCGATACGGAAATATTAAAGTAACCAAGAACTCAACTTTCAACTGCTGAGAAAATTAAAATTGATTGAAATTAATGTCCGTTTCTTTTTTATAAGAAGTTAGAATGATATACAAAAAAAAATTTAAAACATATAGGTTTCAAATAACATTAATGATTACTAAAACTATAAGATATCACTGAAACCAATATTCTAAGAGCAACGATTTTAAACAAGAATTTCAGGTAGGCTAGTTTTTAGATATGCTATCTCTCACACTCCCCCGGACGTCATATGGGCTATCTGGCTGCCGGTAGTGGTTGCGTTCATCAGTGCGCATCGTACTTGTGCAGGTAAACAAATTATTATTTCAAATCATTTTAAGAAGGTTTTTTTATTATTATTATTTTTATTGAACTATTCACAACATAAATTTATTATTGCCAGATATTTTTATTGTTGTTTAAACGGTGCCAAACGGGAATGTTGAATTAAAAAAATTTTTTTTCAAAATATTTTAGTATAGCTGAAATTTTAATAGCATGTTATTTAACTATCTAAAAGCTCAGAATTAATTTGCCAAACAAAAAATCGGTTGTTAAACCTTTTGCCAGATCGAAATAAAGTGTAAAGAGATGTAGTATCATTCAGCTTGGTCTAGAAAATTAATCGTCTAATAAATGATGGAAGAAGGATTAAAAACTATTGAATTTATTTATAGATGAATACGGTATAAAAATAATACTTTATTGTTGTACAAAATTGAGATAATGATCAATGTTAAGTTTGAAAAAGCGCTCTGGCTACCGAAAGACTAACCGCTTCACGTATGATTTCTAAAACCCTATAGTATAATTTAAAAAAAAAGTTCCTTAATTTTGATCCATCAAGTCTACCACCGAGTAAAGCTGAGTTATATCAACACTTACTACGAGTTCGTTATGTCATAACGTTTTGGAGAAATGCTTATTTAAAATACCCAACATCTCTATCACCTCAAGCTTCTGGCTGGTGACATATATGATTTATAATGATGATAAATATGAGTTTATCTGGTTTGTTGGGGAGCAATTACCAACATTAGTTGCCGATATTATTATTAAAGGTAAAAATTTGAACTAAAATACAAAAAAAAATTCTCGAAAGATATTAAAATTTTTGATTCTATTACAGATAACAGCTTATTACAAAATGATAATAATTTTAAGGACGATGATGACAATGGAAATGATAGCAGTGATGAAGATGATGATCTTTTTCTTTCTCTCGTACCACAAAATTTAAAAAATCTCAATTTGGATTTCAAATTTAAAATCTGAATATAGTTACGGACAAATGTATCTTCTGAGCCTCAAACTACATATCCCAGCTGTAGAATGAAACAAGTGAAGTGCAATCATAAGAAAAACGGACTAAAATTATATCTATTATTATCTCATAATAAATACATAGTATAAATGATGTACAATATTTAATGTCATAAAAACGTTAATTACTTTGAACGCGAGATCAATACCCACAAAACAAGCATTAAAAACCTTTTAAAATGGGCCAGAAAAAAATAATTCATCTATGATTCTGTGAAAATTACCAAAAGTATATAATAATTAAAATAAATTTATGTATTTTTAATATTCAGTTTTTTTAATTCCCATTAAAAACTATTCGTTTCGTATTTACATGAATGTCCGATAGTTTTGTAATATCCGAATATAACTGTATTATTTAAAACAAATGATAAAAGATATTAAAAAGGATTAAATTTTCTTGGGAAATATTTATTTGTCTTCCGTATTTCCCCTCGAGGGCCGTCGAGATGATATTCAACTGGTCTTTATTACGTTATTTCTACCTTATCTATAACCATAACAATATTATCTTTATAAGACATTCTTACTACAATCTTGTCTGTCGTGGTATCTCTTAAATACCTTAGGCGTTCCTATACTTTGAACCGCTTATAACTTGTTTAAATATTTCACTATTTTTAATACTAATATGGTATAAATATCCAGAATAGATATTTAATATTAAGTGTACTTGACAAGTATGACACAAAAGATAAGTCACGAAGTTTTCACGAGACGGAGGCGTGATAATTTAATGAAAGTAACTAACTACATTTATAGTAGAAAATATATTAAAAAATTCTTATGATGCTTTCAGTATGTGACAGCTTACCTAAGCGACTTGTGGGTTTAGCACTGAAATTTATAACAGAGGGAAAGTGTAGTCAAATCTTCAAAAACCATAACAAAAATCCCACTCCCCAAGTGCCAGACGGGCACATATATACACATGTAGAAACTATAAAGTCATGTTCATTGTATTTTAACCTACTCAAAAAATAATTTTATTTCCCGTTTTCGTCTTTTTATACACTAGATTTGAAAATTTAAAATAATACGGTTCTCGAGATACTGTTTGACCAACACACAGTGCATTCTAAGTAAGGATCAATTTTAATGAAAAGGATAAAGAAAAAGAAACAATTATCATTAAGTCACTTTATTGAAACCACAAAGTTGACATAACAAACCTCATCTATGGACAAATATATGTATTCTAATTCCATAATTTAAAAATATTTTAATATTCATAACACAATTTTTCAATATCTGACAAGGGATTGCTCAATCACATATATATAAGGATTTGTCAATGGATTTAATATAAACCATCTTCATTTGAATGTATTGTATGTGAAAATTTTCAAAAAAAAGTGATGGCAAAAAAAACTCGCTGTTATTTACAATAAGACATCACATGCCGGGATATAAGATTTTTGTAAAAACAAACAATCAACTTAATATCTATACACATAATTTTCTCATGTAGATGTATTACATTTCAGATAAGATACATGTGAAATCATTTTCCAAAATAAAATTCCTATTATCTATTCTAAAACTCAGAATAAATAATTACCGTAACACTATATCAATATATAAATAAACACCTATTTAACAATATTATATTTAATGTTAATAAATGAGGATAGTCAAATAAATAACTATTGCTTTACACATTTTAATCAACAATAGAAAAATATCTTAGAGAAATCTTTTTGTAGTCACTAATAATTTTAATTGTGCTTTATAGAGAAGGCATAATTTTTTTCCTGTCCTTAAATTAGGCCCCAAGATAGAATACCATAGATGAGGAGATAACGCCCTTAGTGGTTATAAGTTTGTATAAAATATACATTTGAAATTACTATAAAATAATCAGTACATTTTAATAAAAACTTAATGTACGACCTCGCCTTTCACAATCGAAATAATCAAATTACTAATCAGAGTATGAAACTATTTACATAGTACATAATGTAAAATAAAAATCATATAGACCAAGCGAACGCGCTTGAGAACCGACGTATTGACTTAACTTTATAAGAAACTGTCGTTGGTACTTACATATAAACAGTTTAGCGTTGTAGTGACTGTTAATGACTATAATCAAAATTTTGGCCCGATTCAAATATTCAAAATATAGAAAAGATAATAACTTCACTTAATTACCACATTATCTTTAAAATAATAATAACTAACCTATTGTTCTCAACGCCGATTTGTAACGACCTACTACATAAAACAAAATGTTTATCCATAAAACAATGGACCAAAAAAATAAATAACAGAACACGTGAGCAAATACTTAATAATAATAAAAATTAAAATTAAACATTAAAACTCTGCTCGTCGGCAACCAAGGAATGAATTGTAAGTGTAAAAAAATCGCTCAGTAGATATCCTCTCGATGAAGCTAAACAACATTATGATATATATATTTACAATAGGAAAATGACACTCTAATATCACTTAGTTCGACCACTAATGTCCACCGCAGACAATGTTTTCAAAACACTCAATAAAACCCAAACTGTGGTCCTAATTACTATATTGACATGAGTCCTGGATCAATATCAGTGAGCCATTTCTATGTGGCGCTGCAAACTCTTCTTGTTCATATAAAAACGGTCGCACATAGCGCAAGGGAAGAATACTTTTTCGTTGTCAGAATGTCTGGCTCGAGTGTGGGACGAGAGGTCCAACGCTCTGGCGAAGTAGACCTTGCAAATGTTACAAAAGAACTTCGTAGGAGTAGCGTGCATAGCTCGATGTGCTATTAAGTCTCGTGGTGTAGCGACGCCGTCGCCGCATTGAGCGCATGTGAACTCGCCTGGTGGCTGTATAGTCGCTCCGCCATCGTCTTCAGACTGATCGGATTCATCCTCGCCATGATGCATATTCTTGTGGGCCATCAAAGACTTTGAGCTATCGAACACACTGCCGCATACATCACACGTGTGAGAATCTTCGTCCATTTGTGTAGAGCCAGAAGTACCTTCTCCGCTTTCGTAATGCTTCTTCATGTGAACTATTAATGTAGATTTCCTGGTGAAACTCTTGTCGCATACGGGACAGAACACGGAGTTCGGTTGATGAACTTCGTCCATGTGACGCTGGTAGGCCGCTCGCTTTGTGAATTCTTTATCGCAAATGTTACAGTATTTATCTTCAGGAACGCCAGACGAATTGTTCTGATGATCTAATTCAATAGAGTCATCAGATCGTAGCTTTTTGTTCGGATTAACCACAGTTATTTCGACTTCCGGCGGTAATCTCCTTTTGGCGATGTTGGCTGGTGTTGAATGTTGAACACGCGCGAGTTGAGACGGGTCTACAACTTCGTGTTTGCTCACTTTGGTCGTCACTTTGTTTTGGGGCATCCATAACCCAGTATTATTGGCCGCTGCTTTTCCATCTGGAGACCGTAAATGCCATCCCCGGTGACTCTTCAGTGCGGCAATTGACGTGTAGCTCTTGTGACAAATTTCACATTCAAATGTTTGAGGCTGTGTCTGAATCTGGTTTATACATTGATGATTCTGCAAAGCAAGAAGTCCAACGAACTGTTTCCCACAAGTATCACACGGGTATCTGGCCTGGTAATCGACGCTCGGGTCAGCGGAATCTTGATCTTCGTCGTATTCTACCTCCATTTCTTGAACAACCTCTTGTGATTTACTCGGGCCTTGGTTGGCGTTGTATCCAAGTAACTCTCGAGCATGCGCAGCTTTAAGATGTTCGTACAACTCCAAAGTTGAATTCAAAGGTTTTCCACATATCTTACACATCTGCACAGTCGACTTGTGAACGTTTTTCCTATGACGATAGTATGATTTCTTATCAGAGAATGTTATTTTACATATCGTGCAACTAGATCTCCCTTCAGCCGATGACGGCTGTGTTTGTGTTTCTGAAGATTCACCAGCGTTAGGTTTGGTGATGCCGTGCTTAGCGCGTTTGTGTTTCCACAAATACGTCCGCAGCGGAAAACGTTTATAACATAACTCACATGAATATGGCAAAGCGTCATTGGTGAAATTAAAACTATTAAATTGTGGCGTCGTTAAAATGGCACCGTTTTCATCAACATTATATTCATCCTCTTCTGTAGAAGCATGCATGGTATTTTCCTCGCTGTCATTCCTATCATTGAGTAGATCAGCGTGTAGAACTTTTTTATGTTTCCATATATTTTTCTTATGCATGAATCCTTTTCCGCAAATATCACAACAATATGGCGCGTTGGGGACGTAGGGACTATAACCAGGTTGCATTGAGAATTGTTTTATGGGTTTACCGACAATTTGAGGAGCAAATCCTTTAGATTCTCCTGGTTTCCTATTAGTTGTCGGGACTCTGGAGTGTATACGCATGTGATTAGAATATGCTTGACGACTCTTAAACGATCTAACACATATATCGCAATAGAAATCGCTATCACCTCCACGTGCATTTGACCCAGGATGCATCTGCTGCATATGCTCATTCAGCTTTTGTGGAGTGCTGTAGGAATTCGAACATACGTTGCATGGATAAAATTTAACTCGCAAATGTGTGTTCTTATGTTCAGCGAGTTCTGATGGTCGTAAGAATTTCTTTTCACACTGATCACAGTGATGAGCGACTTGGTTGTGTTCGGCAACTTGATGATCCGTCCACGCATCAACAGTTTCAAAGATGGCGTTGCATTCCGTACATGAATAATGATATTCTTCGGCTTCCTCCTTAACAATTGACATGTCGGGCTCGATAGACTGCATACCCAAACTTCTATCAGAATGTTCCATGTATATGTGCTTGTTAAGATCAGTAGTTTGCTCGAATTTAGAGTCACAATGTTGGCAGTGATGAGGCTTTTCTTCGTTATGTACGGCTTTCAAATGCTTCACTAAATTGGGGTAACTACTGTTCTTCTTTCCACAGATTGGACAATCAGTCGGTCGACCGTCCACACATTTGTTTTGGTTTTCGGGATCTAAATTGCCAGCATGCACGGAAACAGCATGATCATTGAAATCTTGCATGTTCAAAAACTTCTCAGAACATAACTCACAAGCTATATACACAGTGCAATCTCCATTGCGAATATGTCTTTTACCAATGTTTTTGTCTTTAAATCTCATCCCACAATGGACGCAAGAAAACGGAACTCGAGATTGACCATCCTCGTGGACATCTAAAACGTGTTTCATAATGAATTGTTTCAGCTGGAATTTCGCTGGACATAACTTGCAAGCGTACGACCTAGCATTAACGACATCTTTGTATGGAATTTTATTATCGGGTTTATCTTCTAACACGATATCATCGGTTATACCATTTTCGTTATAAATTATTTTCCACAGATCAGTGCAAGTGTTCGATCTCATGTGACTCAACAAAGCACCGATATGTCCGTAGGTCACTACGCAATTATAACAAGTGTGTTTTGGTACTTTGTGTCCATTTTTCTGCAAATGCTGTATAACAGCTTTCCTCCGTGGATGTTCTTTATTACAACAAAGACACCGCTTAGTATTGATCTGCTCAATGATGTCACGGTACTTTAAGATGAAGTCTCTTTGAGTTTTAGTGATGTACACTTTATCTGGGTCCAAATCTTTTTCAGCCTCATCACCATCAACCGTGTCATTTGGATCAACCGTTTCGTCAGCTTCTTCCTCCTCGTTCCCATCACTATTGTACGAGTTAGTTTGCATGTCTTCATTTATCTCGACGACGGGTGCAATGTTTAATGCTGGCATTTCATCATCTTCATTATCTTCATTCTTTATGTTTTGGTAATTATCTTTTTCTGTCTCATCATCCTGACTTTCTTTGGCATCACCACCCTCACCATCCACGTTATTTACTAAGTCCTCCTGTCTGTCATTACTATCATCATTACCTCTATCACTGTCCTCTTGCCCATCATCCATATTATTCTCTTCATCATTCTGGTTTTCTTCAGGATCATTCATGGGATTTTCATCTACATCTATTTCGTTTTCATTCTGTCGTGCAATTTCTATTTCATTATCAGATTCCATATCAACGGTATCATAATGTTGGCCTTGGTTATTATCATTTCCACCTTCGTCATCATCTTGCTGTTGATTGACATATCCTTCTGGTTCTGATAAAATTGTTTCCACTTGGAAAGACGCTATTTCAGGTTCGGAAATCAACGTCTCGGGGCTTTCTGGGCCTGAATTGATTATTTCAGGCTCTGACACCAAAACTTCTGGTTTGGAAGTCAATAGTGTCTTTAAAATTTGTGGTTCCTTCTTTTTGATCTGCAGATCTTTTAATGCTTTTATACGAAGCGGATATGGCAAGTTATTTTGCGAGGCTTTAGCGGCTTTAATTGGTATCGGCTTCGGCGGTGCGACTATCCTCTGTGGCATTCTACCGGGCATTGATTTTGAATGAAATTGCATTTTGTGGCTGATGGGATTTGGCATGAGGCGAGCTTTGGGGTTGAATGGATTCGGCCTGAACTTGGGTTGCATGTGTGATTGCTGCTTCTTATTCGTTATTTTATTGGTGTATCGGTCAAAACTGTGCGCGTTCAATTCATGTCTTCTGGCATTGTGGGAATATCTGTATGACCGACCACAAACTAGACAATCCTTGGATGCTATTTCTTGAATACCCTGACGAGCATGAAGAGTTTCACCGCTTGGTCTCATGACTGTAATGGATACTTCTGGCATGTTCGGGACATGTGTGAATTGCTGTTGGTCAATTTCTTCCTCCTCTTCATAATCCTCATCCTTTTCACTATCCATTCCCTGAAATGTGAGTAATTAAATTATTATTATAACTTTATTATAAAGATATAAATACAATGTATATTATATCAATCAATGTAATAAAATCTTTTAATATCTTTGAAAACTATTTATTAAAAATCAATAATATTCTTTTATAAACAATTTGGTTTGACAATAAAAACAATCAACTCTTAATCAACAACATGTGATTGCATAATTCTGAAATAAACATTAATGTGTATTCTTACAAAAGCATTTAAAAATGTACAGTCAAAGTCACAAGTCAAGTTATGTGATAAATGTAAGTTGATATCAATTGACTTGCAAAACAACAGCATAAGATTATGAATATAATATGACACTTCTTATCCGTTTATATAACTGGAATTACATGTTCATTATAAATTTATAACATAAAAATTAAGAAACACAAATTGTGCAGAACTGTACAGTGTGTTCTCTACAAATACAAATACCACACTTAATGCACAGTTGTTTCGATTGACGATCGCGCTTAAAAGATGTACTGCAAATCTTGCATCTTCTTCTACGTTTTAAAACATTTCCAGTTATATCTCTAGGTATCAAATAACTATTGTGCTTTCTATCAACATTACTCAAGGATGGCCTCGGTTCACTTGCTTCTATCAAACTCATTGCTAATTCTCTTATAAATATACGTCGTTGAACGACATCATTTTTGTGATGCATACTCCAAATTACTTGAGCATTTATACTTGCTATGTTAAGTAGCATAAAAAATAAAGATAACGACCAGTTGTTTGTTGGTTGCGTAGTTGTGTAATAATGCATTAACACATCTAAAACCTCCACGGATGATTGAAATTTCTTATAAGTGGCTGCCGCTGACGATCTGCTTGTATGGACTCTCTTATAATATATAGGATCATTGGTGAGAACGTTAATAACTTGTGAATTAGTATAGTAAGAATTAACAATCATATCCTTGTCAAAGAATCCAGTGATGAATGGAATATCATTTCTATATTTTGATAAGAAAACTGGTGGAATGATATCATCTTTGTGATGAAGCCCAGCGATACTATATAATGCATATTCATTTTTCAACTTCATAATAAGTGATGATGATGTAAACCAACTATCCATAATAACAGTTCGACCAGTACCAGCTAAATGTTGGACTAATTTTGTCGCAATATCATCAGCTGCAAAATAAGGATCGGTTATAACATCCAAATTAGAGACATAAAAGCTGAATGGATCTATCAAAAGAATAAGCTTAATCCCGTTTTTGATTTTCTTATTTTCTATATTATATCTAAAAGGACAGGGTCCATATAAAGGCAATATAACTTCATCCATAACAACCAAATTACCAACATTCATTGAATTTCTACAATTAAGAGCGAATATCTCAAAGACTTTACGAATTCTGGACATTGCATCAAATTGAATAATATTGTCATCATTGTCAACATCAAAACTTAAATTCTTTAGTAAAAATTTAAAACGCTCAAGTGTCATTCCATTCTGAACACAAACTACTCCATATTCATTATGCCAAAGGTCACCGCATTCCTGATAGCTGGGTCTCATTATGCCATGATAATACAGAATTCCAATTAATGTTCTGATTTCTCTTACATTAGTAGATTCCATTACATCACTGTTTCTAGATATTTTGTCATTAGTAGATGTAACCATAAGTTCTAATAGGTCATCAGTGAACAGTGTTTGCCAAGCGTTTATAGGTCGGGGACAAAACTCAAGTGCTGGCAGATTATTTTTCCTCAAATTGATAACATCCTTTATTTTATTGTTTGTTACAAGTGGCGATTCTTTGGGATTTTTTGATAGGATTTGACCATTTTTACATTTATAACCATTTCTATAATCTACATAATCATTTAAGTTCTCATCATCATATAAATCAGTCTCAGAATCTGAATTGTGATCCGATACATGTAGAACATCACATTCTTCGTTAGATTGGAGCGAATCAATGACATCACTGTCTTGCACAATATCTAATATAGCATGGACTCGTTGCCAATCCATCCTTGGATCTACATATTTCTGTGGACGAAATTAATTCAGTTGAACTATTCTCCATCCAGTTAACTTCGGAAACATTTGATTGGATATTAATATGCAAATTTTGACATTTCAAAGGTTCATGAGTAGCGGAAGTGTCATATTATTTTTCATATGAAACAAAACAAAGATATTTGTATTATTTCTACCTTATCACTTCTTGGTGTGAGCCCCAATGATGCCAAGATAGGTGGACCCTCCGGTTGGACCTTACTAGATGGGGCAGCATTCTGTAATGTCACAAATATACAATTAAAAACATTAAAGAACACTTAAAAACTTTCCAATTATTGCTTATCATGTTCTGTCATACATGGGTTCATTACATAATATAGAAAAAATATTTTTTTAATATAATTGTATAAAAGTTCAATATCAATAAAAATGTGATGTGTTATTCCAATGTCCTTGAAATAAAATGTAAGTCTGTCAATATGAATTTAACCAGTATTGTGATGTAAAGATTATTTTTATAAATAATATGGAAAATATTTTAGAAAACTTACTTCACTTTCAGGATATGAACCATCAATGACCACTCCATCATCATAAGCTTCATCAGATAAAGGCTCATTTTTTATTTTCACCTGAAAATTCATTTAAAAATATTTTTATTGAAGTGTCAACTTCAAGTATGCTGAACTATCAAAGTAAACTAAGCTCACCTCTTCTAGTTGGTCACTCTCCTTATTTAAAAACGATAGTAATCTGTTTTGTGTTCTTTCACATACTGCCTTAAATATGTGCCAGTTATTGACATTATCCATACATTTCCTGCAGACATTAGTTGGCAGGTCGTCATTTTCCCTTATCTGAAAAAATATAACCAACAATCACTTCACGGAAGGCAAATAACGCGCGCGTTTCATCATACTGTAATCATACATGGGACGAAACCGCGCCTCGTACAGATACGCGAGGAGAAACTTAGTAGGTAGGCGTAAGTATAGCGAGCGACAAGCGCCTGCTGCTCGACCGAATAAGTAGAAGCGAGTCGAGTGGCAGCCGTGAGCCAGCCGCCGACGAGCCCCTCGTCGAGGGTCACCGCTCGATATAGCACTCACACATGCACATCACACTCACACCGAACACAGACGCTTATTTGAGGGACGAGCTGCACTGGGCACTGGTCCACTCGTCCGATAAATCGATACGCCCTTTGGCCCACGCCATCTAATATCTAGGCCCCCTCCCCGTCGAACCTGCGGGAATAATGACAAAACCGACCCTCATCATGTGAGCATTCCTCGCCGGCTGCAGGAAATGCGACGCGACTCGGCCACGACTCGAGCGATATCTATGGAGCATTACAAAATGGTGGACGTTCTTACGACATCTCCACCTAGACGCAGCGTTGCCTGTCATTATACGAACGAAGCCGGATGACGAGTTCTCACGTACACCAAGGGTCTACTTTCACTCAAAACTCCTTTCTGATACATATTTAGCACATTACATACCTGTACTGACACGCAATCTTTAATCTTTGAAGCGAGGACAGGAGGTTCCGAGTCATCCGAACTGGTGGTAGGAAAAATCGGTAGTAATTCACATGTAGATGACAAGCACAGTCTACAAACACGGTCATAATTTACATTCATTGTAAATAAACAAAATTTTGAATGTTTTTACACTTTCTACGACACTTAAAACACGGACGCCATGTCACCACGACCACTTCAACACAAAGCACTGCATATCGTTCTTGCTTGGGCACGATAGCGGCTGATGATGAGCATGAGAAGTCGATGTTCGGTCGGAATAGCTGGGTCGAGTCGCCGACCACCTGTCGTTCTGCGCATGTGCGCGTAATGTGGCGTCAGTGGCACCAACATAATCAACCAAAAAAAGGGACTTGTCAGAAGTAACAAACTGTTTCAAAATGTATCCTTCAGTTATATGAACATTATATTTATATTTTTATAAAGTGAGATATAGAAATATAATAAAAATATGTTACTTTATTAGAATAAAATAAATTTTCTATATAGTTTACATGATAATCAGGAAATTTTCAATATTACCATTCATTTCATTTCGGTATTAGACACATATTTTTAGACTTATTAAGATATTCAGCTCATAACTACTAATTATATAATTTTCCTTTCAAAACTAAAGGAGTCTCTGAATCGAACTTAAGCTTTAAACTAAAAACCTCCTTGCAAAATAATACTTTAATAGATGAATATATTGGCATATTAAAATTATTATTTTAATTTTTCAAACTGTTTAAGTCCTCTGACTGATATGTTCTCCACGCGTTAATGTTGGTATGCCTCTTTGGCGCTAAGTTTAAATATCGATAAGAATGACAGTTCATGAGAAGGGCGGGCTATTTAAATATTTTTTTATAAAATAAAATTTTAAAGTGTTTTATTTTTCTTGGATGTCCTGAGCAATGTCAATTATTACATATTTACAGCTCTCCATATTTTTTAAATCCCAATTCTCATGTTTTTAATCCAAATTTTGAAATGAATACCAATTTGATTGACTAAATATTTTTATTCGTATTTTTATATTAAAGAAAAAACTGCTATAAATAATTTGTATTATTATAAAAGTTACACAAACCAAGAAGTAACTCACAAATATTTTTATTCCGTTTCTAAATTATTTAGTCTTATTTGAATAAATATTAACTGCATGTTTACTGCATGCTTTGAGTTTTGACATTGTTTAAATATTACCGCAACGGTTACAAATGATGACATTGTCTTATAATATATAACTCAGTTCTTTTATATTGTAATAAACCCATTTTGCTAGTATAATAATTCCTTACTTATCTATGTTTTGATCACATTTAACATATAATAAATATTCATAGACGTTAGGAAATATTCTATGAAACTCGGTCTATTAAGAGTAATACTAGATTGAATTTATTAATTCAAGGAATATTATTTATAATTACGATTTTATAATGAAAGTGATAAGGGATTGTATACTTTTTAATATACAGGGTGACTGGTGAATTACTATCAATATTTAAGGAGAATACTCGGTACATGATTCTCATTCGAATTATGTAAAAAAATAGGTACTTAATTTTTGACCAAATTTCCGTATAAATAAATAAAGTGTGGACACGTTCCAAGTGTTCCAAGTGTGGACGCGTGCGGCGGCGTGCTGATACAACACCACGCCGCCGCGCGCGAGTGTGTGTGTGTGTGTGTGTGTATACCTAATCTGTAGGGTGTTCACACGATGCGTAATTAATTACATAACTTTTGGTTAACTTTACTTAAAAGTTTATTAATATTTATGTTATATTAATTTTTATTTTGTCATATATGATCGTCAAATATCACGTCCTCAAGTATCGATAGTAATTCACCAGTCACCCTGTATATCGATTGGTAACTAACGATTCTTGCCAACGGCAACGAAAGTGAAATGATATTAGGTATTTAGGTATAACCTAGATAAATAAAATTAAAAATATAATATATTTTTTTTAATTATTGTTTAAAAACACAACCTTTTTTGAGCCTGAACTTCATTTCTTACAATTTTCACGTAATGATTGAAATAAATTTGTTTTATAATATAATAATAATAATAATAAATGGCTGGTCTGATTCCGATTTAAAATCATATATTTATTAAGAAATAAAACACTAACATATCGGTACCATTTTATTTCTGCGAAAGCAACATTCAATACCACAACAATAAACGATTATTTGATAATTATAAAACATTGATTCATTTTCATTTCCTAGTACATATATTATATATATGTTTATATCTCCTTGGAGATTGTTCAATATATAGATATATATAATTTAATTATATCTATGTAGATATGACTGATATATTTTAACAGACAAGGAATTAACAATATATAACATAGTATATATCATACTACAATTTACCAACGTAATTTATTAAAAGTATAAAATAACATTTTAAATGAGGTACGCAACAACACAAAATATATATATTTTTAATAAAACAACACCATGTATATAATAAATCATTACAACATATATATGTATATATAAATTTGAACATTAATAATTGTGAATCTTATATTAATAATATATAATCTTATTACACAATTTAGGTTTCTATGTTGGAACACATTTACATATATTGTGCATCTCTCAGACTTGTTAAAACATAGTTTTGTGCAAGTTACCTTAAATTAATACATTTATATGTCACATTAAATCCTACAAGAATGCTTCGAATTAAAAATAATAAATAAAAACATTTGTTATTGGTATTGAAATAAAGTAATCCTTTCTGAAATTTTATATTTTAAACTCCAATATGTTTTTTTTAAAATATTGGACAAGCTTTTACAGACCGTGACTTTCAAGAAAAAGAGCCTTAGAGCTCCTGCTGTTTTCATATGAATTTGAATTAAAATTGCTTTGCCCGCAAAAATTCTAAGACCTTTCTCATGTAAATTATTATCTTAAATTTGATTTTTTTTAAGATAACCATTTTACCATAAACCCACCAAAAATTTTCCATGTTTATGTCTGAAACAATGAATATAATAATAATGCTTTTCATTTATTACTTAATAAACACTAGATATATACCACATAATACAATGACGAGGATAAATGGTTTTTTGATATTTTTTTATTAGAAACATACAAAAGCGTAGGTATATGTATATAAAGCTGATAAATATACACTTGTCTTGTTTTCAACTGCATGTGACTGTTATATTAAAATAATAAGATTGTCATTAAATCTCTAAATATAACATTATTTATGTATTCATATTTTATTCAAATCATTATAACAAACGCTTGCAGCAATACATTTATTAGCATTTACATATATTTTATATTCAATCTATATACACGTCGAAGTGACAGCGACGTCTTCATTTGAAAACGTCACCCGTCATCTGTCATATGTCATTTGTCAACTGTCATCATCTGTCAGATGTCAACGTCAATTTAAGTGCATTGCGGACAGGTCGAGCGATGTTCTTGTGTAGTCTGCGCGCGCACCGCCAGCCGCGACGTGTCTACGGGGTTCGCCTTAGCTACAAGAGATCGCGCCACGTGCGAGAACGCCGCTTCTACATTGAGACCCGTTTTGGCGGAAGTCTCCATAAACGCTACTTGATATTCCCTCGCGAGACGCTGACCCTCCTCCCGCCTCACCGCGCGCTCCAGCCCGCTATCCGATTTGTTACCTGCGGATTATTATCTCTTTGTCTTTGTTCTTATTTATATAAGGTTTTATAGTAATATTTTTAGCGAATGCTCATACTATATAAGATTACCAAGCAACATGATGACAACGTCGTCCTGAGCGTACTCCCGTATCTCACCGAGCCAGGCTCGTATGTTGTCGAAGCTGGTTTTATTTGTGACGTCATATAACAGAAGGAGAGCTGATGGAAAACAAAATATAGGAAACATACAGTTATATTATAACAGTAATGTTAGAAAATTATTGTTCATATGATAGATTTAACTAAAAGAAATTAACACAAGACTTTTTTATAATTTACTACATTCTTAAACAAATTCTACATATAGTCAATGCTATGAATAATTGTTTTTAATATTAATTTACAATTATTTTTTACTAGTAAAATGATTGAGTATGTTAATTTATATTTATTAATTACTTCAAATGTATGGTATTTAAATTTCTCGATGAATTTTAACAGATTTTTTTAGCACACATTCTCATAGAAAATACAATCATGATTTTTTCAAAAGATGGCGCTACTAGTAGCAAAACAGTCTTACAAATTATTGGCAACTGATATGAATAACAAGTAATTTATTGTTAAAACTTTATACCGTGTGCGTCTCTATAGTAAGCGTGTGTGACGCTGCGGAAGCGCTCTTGACCTGCCGTGTCCCAAATCTGGAGTTTAACTTTGATTCCGTCCACCGTTACTACTTTATTCTGCAAATAGATGGCGTTAGTTGCACCACATTAAACATCACTATGAAACATATTTTGTAATTTAAATGTACTTATATTGACTTTTTGTATTATTTTAATTTTTTAAGATCATTTTTCATTATTTTAAGTCAGTTTGGATAATTTAATACGTAGTACATAAAATTCAACTGTTAATAAAATAAAACAAGTTACTGAGTGCAAATGTGTTATAGGTACATATTATTACTAATTTAATTATATACTAGGATTATATTATTTTGATAATCATACCTTTCTACTTCAATCAGAACTTATCTATATATAATTTTAGCTTAATTAAAGAAAAATAAGATAAGAATCAACAAAAAGCTAAATTTTTTAATGCTATCATCATTTGTAAGTCAAATTTAATAAACAGACAGTACAAAAAAATATGAATTTTTACGGTATGTAAATACTAGGTATTGCAAAAACTATTCTTTCTTTTGTTTAAAACTTAGAAAAGAAGATCGGAACACTTTATTTAGTTTTATGTGAGGAACTAATTAAAAATAAAAAAAGGTTCCTGTGTATTTTATTGGCATCCAAAGCCGAAAATATGGCAAAAAAGGTTCGAACAAAAAACTGGCTGTCATTGTAATAAATCACTCTCACGAGCAGTCAATTCAATCACAGCTGTCATGACTGAGGGGCGGGAACGAAAAAAGCGCGGCAAAGTTTAACACCAATAGCGTATCGACACGCCGGCCGACAGACGCCGTGACTGGCCAGTTTGAACTTGGAACCCCTGACAACCATTTATTAGTTTTTTTTTTGTGTTCGAAGGTAACAAATTAAAATTAAAAGCCAATATCATGATTTATTACACAAAAAAAAATTAGACTCAATGGTTGTTATAGTTGCTAATGATGGCACGTGGTCTGGAAAATGTACCCGGAAATCGATTCCAACGGTGGAAATGTAATTGCCGGCGAGAAAAGTTCCATCCCGGAAGCGGACGAGCATACAGGTCTTTCCAACGCCGCTGTCACCGAGCAACATCACCTGGAAATGATAATCCTCTACGTGAATGATTTATTAAACGGAATCTATATCAACATCTATCGGTACAGCCATACAGTAAATCATCGCATTCATTCAATATAATATGACAATGACACTTATGAAAGTGACAGTCATACTTTTTTATACATAAAGGCACTGGTCCAAACTATTCAGCCAATAATTAAGACTCACCTTTCCAAAGACATCATATTTATCCTCCTGTTTCCCAGACTGGTTCCATGTTTCTGATGGTGATGGTGGGTCACTGTGAGGCATCACTCCAGCTTCCTGTTCCGTTTTATCTTCATCCTCTCTTGTCTCTGGCAGGTTCCTCGCCCACGTGGGTCTAACCCGTCCGACCACAACTCGTTTCTCCATTTGACGATTGTCTATGGCGTTTGGATTCCACATTTTGTATGCACTGTGTCCTTTTGTTTTTAACTTTGTGTCTTTTACTTATTTAACATTATGCAACTTTTTTGTATTTATATTTTTATTGATACTGTGATTACAAGGTGGTGCTAACCACCCCGGATAAATTATTTCTTTGACGCCGTATAAAATTCTATTTTTTTTAAGCTTTTTGAATTTATACCTAGGCACCTATTGTAAAGAATGAAATTATAATGTTAGTTATTTTAAAAGTCATTAAAGTTGTTTTATTTCTTTACATTTTTTTGAATTTCTTTAAAATAATGTACAATTATGCATATTTAGCTACATATTTTAAAACATTTTATGTGATAGCTTGAAAATTACCTATTAAATATTCAATAAATTTTTTGTCTTAATCCATAAATTTAGCATTTAAAGTATTTTCATTGGTATAAAAAAAAGATAGTTATTAATATTAAATAAAGTGGTGAAGTTAAGACGTCTCAAGTAGGGTCTAAAAGCTTTGACGCGGGCCACTGACCGGGTAGCAACCCTCGCTCTCCACTCCTAGAAGACGGCATTGGTTTGAATCCTAAAGCATTATCTCTAGTAGAATTAGTATGATAATTTTATTACACTATACATATTAGAAAATCTTTTTTTTTTCATAAAGCAAGTACTGATTTTGTTATTTACAAAGTACATTTTCATTGTTGTTAATTGTATGACTGGAAAATAAATTGATTTAGATTTATATTAGGTGAATGTAGTTCAATATATAGTAGTTTCGTCTGGGTAGTATCTTGAAGTTTCCAGTCTCTAATACTTTAGGACACCTAAGAACAATCAAGTCTGAACCTTAGAGGTCAAGTGGAAGGAGAGACTAAGGACAGAGTAGCGCGACATAACTAGTTAATAGTTGATAGTATAAATGTTTGGTGATACTCTTAACACACAAATGACAAAGTAAATTGTTTTAAAGTTTCACAAACATAGGAAATATTGAAATAAAATATAATTATCCTATAAATTAGCAGGAAAAATATACAGGGTGACTGGTGAATTACTATCGATACTTGAGGACGTGATATTTGACGATCATATATGACAAAATAAAAATTAATATAACATAAATATTAATAAACTTCTAAGTAAACTTAACCAAAAGTTATGTAATTAATTACGCATCGTGTGAACACCCTACAGATTAGGTATACACTCACACACACATACGCGTGCGGCGGCGTAGTGTTGTATCAGCACACCGCCGCACGCGTCCACACTTGGAACACTTGGAACGTGTCAACACTTTATTTATTTATACGGAAATTTTGTCAAAAATTAAGTGCCTATTTTTTTTACATAATTCGAATGAGAATCATGTACCGAGTATTCTCCTTAAATATTGATAGTAATTCACCAGTCACCCTGTATAAATAGTAATCAATATTGCCGCGTTTTTTCCTTAAAAACCATACATTAGCATAGACATAAATTAATGTAAAGCATATGTCACAGTAGACTAGATTATATAGAAAAAAACATACGGCATTTATCATCTTTAATAAAAGGGTAATTACTAACCGGGTGTAATTGCTAGCGTTATAAAAAACGTTCACCCTCTAACACTGAAGAGATTAAAATAAAAAACGCTCCAACAGATTTCAAAGGGAAACTCGGACCCTTGAAGTTCTGTGACGCTTAGATAATAAATAATTTATTGAGATTAAAATAAAAGTTAAAGTAGTAAGTGCTTAGTATAAATGAAACTAATATTTTTGGATTTACTACGCAATTTATTTTTTGACTATAAACTACATACTCCCGAGTACTCCCGAGTATGTTCTTATAGTCAAAAATAAAAAATCGCGTAGTAAATCCGAAAATATTACATAGTTTCATTTAAATGAGTATATACTAGCGAAAATTTTAGATCTCATTATGCTTAGTATAAGTTTGGGTCGACACTACATACGAAGTGTTAGACGTTTCTCATTCAATAACCTACGATAATACTACGAGTACGCGACGATGCAAACTTGGACTAAGTATACTGAAGGCTTTCTTTTAAGAGTACATATTGTATTAAGAAAATATCCTAATTTAAACCTAATTACGTACATTTATGTTTTTATGTACCTAGGAATAAGTCCGTCGTGGATTTTTCGCGGTAGGAGTGGGAGAAAGAGGTATAACAATTAACAGCTAAATCTATCTACAACCTACTAAAAGATTTGGGCCTGTCTAGAAATAATATCCATTCACTCTAAGCACGTATTTCCAAAGTAGCAATAGTAGGTTCTTTTCAAATTTTTTTAGGTAGAGAGAGGTGCTTGGACGGTAGAGGTGAGCGTTTAAGGCGCGTTAGATAGGGACCTCTTAAACCTACACCTGGGTCGCTAGTCCCAGGCACTGTTGAAGCTCCTCTCCCTGCAACGGTAGAGCCGGCACCCGCACGGTGTATACATGGAATGCTGAGAGGTTTCGTCTTATGTTTTTATGTTAACCTATAAGCTGTAATATTTAATAGAGATTAATCTACTATTGTTTTGTGACGGCTAATTTAGGATTTATTATTTGATAAAAATAGGTCGTGAATAATTACATAGGTACGTCTCATAATTTTAAATTGAATTTTATTCTTTTAAAAACTAAATCTGAATCTTATTCTTTTAAAATTGAATAATAATATTTTTACATAATTTCGCTGTTAAGATTATTAATCGCTTTTTTCTATTCAAACAGTAAAAATTTTAATTAATTAAAAATAATCATATTGCTCACAATGTCAACATTACAACTTTTAATATTTTAATTTCTTGGAAAAATTAATGCTTAAACCAAATACGATTTAACCAAAAGTAATAAACACTTTTTAAATACGATAAAAAATATATTATCAATTTTCAAAATTGCTATGGTTGTTAAACCTTGCTTTTGACGGTAACAGGAAATAAGAGGACTCACTGAAATGACCCGAGATTCGTGAACCAGGAAGTGTCAACTCCATAGCAAATAAGGATATAATTTTTTTAACCTAATAAAAGCTTTTTTCATAATAATTTTGTATTAAATAGGTATTTGATGTTTATTTGATCAAATGATTTTTAATGAAAAATTTGTTTTTAACTTCCATTTACGAGATATAAATTAATTATTGTTTATTGCTGATTGTATGATTTTTTTTTATTTTTAACAGGTTTTTAAAGACCAATCTCATTTAAGAAAAAAAAATAACAGGTCATTCATTTTAATAAATTTACTTGAAACTGAATATTTGTGGGTATCTCAATGATATGTTACGTATCGGTTTTTAAATCAATGCTTGTTCTGTTTATAACATTATTAAATTTATGGCTCGAAAAGTTTAAGAGAAATTGACTTGTTTCAACCTCAACGTATTAAAAGATTACTATTAAATGTAATATCTCGATTCAAATATTCGTTGCTAGATCAGTACATGGAAACTACGAAACAAACATTCTATCAAGAGCAATGATAGATGTGACTGGAGTATTCATGATTATTGTTCAGAGTTCAGTGAGTGCGGACCATTGAACAATGAAGAACATTCGAGAAATACAAGGATATTAAGAAGAATTGAAGTTTCATTTTAAAATATCATGGAACGTACTGGAAGAAGTGACATTTAAGTCTCTCCCTACTGAACTATCGTTAATAGGGAGAAATAAATATACTTGCTGCTTGAGTACCGCTATATTACGAATGAAATGGTATGGCACAAACTGTCTATTATATACAAATCTTATACAGAAGTTATATCAAATTACCCACTTTACTACACTCCTCCCCTCTATACAATACAACCCCTTAACTGAATACAATAAGCTTAACCTAAGTCATAATATTTAAACATATATATATTTTTTTAAAATGTTAATATTAACTTATTTATTATTAAGTAAACTTACACAATATTAAATTATTTAACACTATCATGCAATGGTTTAATTAAACGACATTTGCGTATTGGCCGTATCCGAGGCGGTGACACGGGCAGCGGCGACTCAGCTGCGAGTGTGGGCGAACTTGGAACCATATCAGTCTTTGGCTCGTTTAGCTCTGGTTGCGGTCTCTCTCCACACGACTCCTCTCTGACAACCGGCTCACCCATTCTTGGCATCTTTGGACTATCGCTCATGAGTGCCGGTGTCCGAACCCCAGGGGAATCATGCTGCGATGGAGTGTATGGAGCAACTATGGAATTACGCGTAGATCTCCGTCTTAACTGATCAATATGTCTGTGCGATCCTCTCCCTACATCATCTAAAATGCTATAATCCGTCGCGCCTAATCGTTCTATAACCTTACCCGCCACCCATTTATTAGCGCCCTGATACTGTCGCATCCACACATTCTCTCCCGGCTCTAAAGACCGACTGTTCTCTGTTCCTAACTTCCTTTGACGCGTTTGGGCTTCCTTCACTTTTTTATCCCTATCTGGTCTAAGTAAATCTAATTTTGTACGTAAACTACGTCCTAACATTAGAGAAGCAGGGCTTTCCCCAGTAGTACTATGTTCTGTGTTTCTGTAATGTAATAAAAACGTGTTAAGAAATGATTGAATGTCCTCTTTTTTACGGATTGCTTTTCGTATTACTTTTTTTATCGTACGTACAGCATTTTCGGCGGCACCGTTTGACGCAGGGTGGTAAGGAGCTGAAAATAAATGTTCTATGCCTAATTTATTTGTAAATTTTGAAAAATCCGAACTTGAAAAAGGCGGACCATTGTCGGTTACCATCTGCTTCGGTAGCCCCCATCTCGCAAAAACTTCCTCTAATTTATTCAATGTATAACGCGCGGCGGTACTAGGAACAGGATATACCTCGATCCACTTAGTTCTCGCGTCAATTAAAATTAAGTAAATTTTATCTTGAAAAGGACCCAAAAAATCTAAATGAATCCGTGACCAGGGCCTTGAAGGCCACGGCCATGGATTTACAGTATGACGGGTTGGTGCATCCGCCTCCGCGGCACACACTTCGCATTGCTTGCATACCGCCTCCACCGCT